TTGAGGACACTGAATCCATCTGGCTTGTGTGGTAGGAGCTGAAACCTCTCTCAACAAAATTTGATACATTTGTATTTGTTTAGAAAATTAGAGGGTGGGTCAGAATATTAGAGGGTGACTTTTTCCCCTGGACAATACAATCCTCCTTCCCTCCACCTAAAACCTTTGTGAATCACGCATAGGGACTACAACAGAATGTGAAAATCAGAGGCAGAGATCAAGGAAGATCATAACAACTACTGAGCCAAGGTCTGGTATTTACAATGATTTTAGCAACATTCTGGACTGAATCCTTTTTTGTACTGCTGTTTTGACCTCATGTTATTACTAAACAATTTATTAGTATACATGACAGCCACACCCCACCTTTGTATAAAACATTTATTACTTTCTTGGACAAAGTGTCACATAATAACATTGAAAAACAGATCTAAGTAACTTCACAATAAAATTTGACAATATGGTCATGCTACAAAACTATATAGTATATATACAGCATATATTTCAAAATATGATCACCATGCTAGGTGCTTAAAAATTGCTCCCGACCTTGAAGTTTGTTTCAGAAGTATAGTCTTCTGGTGGAGCCAGAGTTGTCCACAAATGACAGCTGCCCAGTTTAAATGCCCTTTGATAACTTCATATAAATTAGTATGTACAATAGCTACTTGCAGCCTGTTAGATTGGAAAGCAAGTAAAGCCTTTATTGTTAGTATGTTTTAAGTTTAGTAAACTTCCATTCAAGAAGACTAAAATCAGTCATACTAGGTACCAAGAGGGAAGCAGGATTCAACATGGGTGGGTTTCTTTTCCATCCACAATTAACACAATAAGCTAAATAATCAGAAGAGACATAACAAGACATGATAGCTTAAGCTTAGACTGACTAGCAATCCCTTTCTTTAAGCAACCACACAGCAACTGCTAATCATTCAGTTTCCAAAAATATCCAGTGCATAATTTTAAAGTGCAACTTCAACATGCCATTTATTTTGGCAATTTTACTTCTGATTTGTTCAAAAGAATGGCACCTTTTTCTTCCAGATGCCTGTAAAAGAAAGTTTTTTTATATAAATATATGACCTTTTCTGACCTTTAAAGATTATTTGTTTGGAATCATTTGACAGCAACACCACATCAAACTGGAAATAATTTTAAACACTATGTACTCTGTATGTTTACTCAATCTCTCATTCAAATAATATAGAACAAAGACATGCTAGATTATGTGCTTGAGAAATATGAGGATCCATATTTCCCTGTGATGTGTGGAACAGCCATAAAGAAGCTAAGATACATATGGGGAAGAGATGAGCCATAAAATGACATTGGTACAATGCTTTACATGTACCAGTTCCAGGCATGCTTCTAACAGTTTTCCTTATACAGGATCACAGAATCAAAGAACTGTAGCCTTGGAAAAGATTCACCTAATCCAACTCCCTGTAGATACAGGCTATTTCAACGTATGCTTTGCAAATTTCAAAACAGTACTCGGCTCAGTAGCAAACTTTTACTGCACTTTGCATCTTTACAAGGAGATATAACTCAATCCAAATTCCACCTGTTAATGTTCACTTTCTTGTTTAAGGCAGCTAAATTGGAATGATAATTTTTTATTATTATACCTCCATAGTAGAAAGTTTGGTTCAAAATCAAAGCTTAAAATCTGCACTGCTTATGAACAAAAGGGAAAAATGCTTTCATAATGAGAGCTACTACTGATATTTTTTTGCATTTGTAGAGGTTGAGGCAGTATCTCCTGCATATAATACTTCATTTACTGCTTCAAAATCTTTCCCAAAATGTCTTTATTCAAAGGACAAAAACTCTTGATCACCAGCCCTCTTTAACCTATTTTCACTTTTTAATTTTGTTATATGTTGAATTAGCAGCATTGCAGATATGCACCTATCTCTCCTGCTGTTTTCTGACTAGTTTTCTTTAGTAACAAATAGCCCTCACACAGTCCTTTTAAATGCCTTCTTCCCTGCATCTTTTCCAACACAATGCAGCACATTTATGGGTGTGTGTATGTTTATATGTATATGGATACAACAGTTCAATTCAGCAGGACTTAAGAATTAAAACATTTAAATACATAGCTCTGAAAGAAGAAAGCAAAATGTTTTAGTACCAGAGGAAATCTGAATTCAAATGAAACTGGAATTTGCCTCTATAGCCTCTTAATACTATTGTTATACAACCACATTTTTATTTAATATTTAAAAATAAATTTATGTCTCACAAATATTTTAATATAGTTCACAATTCTTTGATCCACATGACAAAATTGCCCAATGGAGATTGGGGGAAAATCACTTTTCTGTCCACTGTTTTAACCATGACAATGCTTTAAGGCAAACAAAAAAAGGCAATTTCTCCCTTCAAAACCACATAAAATAATGTGATCTATACTGGAATTACTATTTTATCTTCATATTAAGTGCCCTGGTTGTCTTTAAATTCCTTATATTAAAATAGGCAGTCACAGAAATAAATCAACAGGCCAGATGTAGACAGCTGGGTAGTAAGGCCATCATTTCTCTGAACAATTGTTGCTTCAGATCAAGCAACAATATGTTGGTGGACTAAGAAGTAATTCTTCACTTTGTAAACTAATCTCTTGGAAGAAACACCAGCTGTCAGTTGCAGTTTAAGAATGTTCTACTTTGAAAACACTTGGCACCAAGTCTGGAAGAAACTCACTTTGCTAATTAAAGAGCTAATCCATTTGTTACTTATCTGTGCTGCTCTTATCCCACCAAGCATTACACCCACATAGGGTCAGATTAAAGCATGCTAAGACCCAAAGCTATGTCATCTTTAAGAGGTTCCATACATAGCATTACCAAAATGTGTGCATTATGGAAGACCTGAAATTTAGTATATTTATGATGTTTTGGTGTTTTTTTAAGAACTGGGGACCAATCAAAACCTAAGTTTTCTTAACTTATATGCAAATATGGTGGTGATGCCATATAAGGAGATTTTTATAAGACTGTTATCTTGTGACTATTTTGTTTTTAATATGCTTTACAGAGATGATTAAAAGAAATGCATATACAGTATCTCCATGAGAACACAACTAATGATCCTACTGATTATATCAGAAGTGTGTGGTTTAGAAGCAAGGACTCATCAACTTGAAACTTCCATTGTCCAAATGTGCTGTAACTCACTTGCTGTAGTATTCATCAAAGTATTCTTGCCTTGAAAAGATAGTCATAAAAGTTGCTAGCACACCTACAGTATTTTATTAACCTCCACATTCTATCACACATTTGGGGGATACACATGTGACCTGAAAGGGAAACTAAATAAAAGGCTAATTTACAAATGTTATTTTGTCATGTTGGTGGAGGGCACTTCTAATTGCCCTCCGTGTGACTTGGCATGTGGCCTTTTCCAAGTCTGAAAAACTCCTTCTCACATCCTAATCCAAAAAACCAAAGGCTGCATTAACACCAAGACATTATACATAAACAGCCTCTCTGTGCTAAAACATCCATTAATTCACCAGCCTCTTCTGACAAGCAGAATCACAGTATTGATGGCTAATCTACCAAGAAAATAAGTAGCAGGCAAAAAGGTTATTACAACAATAAACAAGTTCCACTGTGTCCAAAGATTCCCTAGACAGCAAGACTGCAGCCTAATGGAATATCTAAACAAAAAGTCACCTTTGTAGTAAAATAATGCCAAGCATTAAACCTGGTTGGTGAACATATTTTTCTCAAAAATAACTTATCCATTCACAGCATTTGTAGAAATAATTAGCATGGTATATAAATATATGCTATGGAAGTAAATATTTTATACTTCTTGAAAAATCAAATGGTATGTGGCATACACATACTAGTAATAAGATAAATTAATCCTAAAATTTATTTTCTTACTTCAAATTTAGTTAAATTTCTTTATTTCATTTACATTTAGGCCTTCTGTAATGATAAAAAACTGCCACAATCTTTAAGGAAATTAATACCACAGTAGTAAAAACAATCTCATTATAGCATTACAGTGGTGCCCCGCATGACGACGATAATCCATTCCGGGAAAATCGCTGTTTAGTGAAATCGTCATGCAAAATCAGTATCCCCATTATAATGCATTGAAACCTGTTTAATGCGTTCCAATGGGGAAAATACCTCGTCATCCGGGGAAGATCGCCCATAGTGAAGCCATTTTGCGAAGCGCTGATCAGCTGTAAAAATGGCTGCCCTGCGAAGCATGGGTCCGGAAAAGACAGGGCAGCCATTTTGGGGAGCCAGAAAAATTGTTGTCTTGCAAACAAACGGTTCGCGAAGCACAGACCTAATCAACATCAAATCTCCCACTGGAATGACTGTTTTGCGAATCGCTATAGCGATCGCAAAAAGTCATCGTAATGCAGATTTGTCATTCAGCGGGGTCGTCGTCTTGCGAGGTACCACGGTAATCAAACTCTACTGTCAAAACAAATTAGTTTTTGAAGGAATAAGCCATAAACTAGAGGGGAATTGTCTTCTGAAAGATGATGAACTGCATATATCCTATCTGAATGAAAGGAGGAAAGGAATAATTGTCTAATGTCTAATAAACAGATTAGTGGCATTTTGATAAAGGACTATGTGAGTATCCAGATGCTATGCAACTCCTATATACTATTACCTTAGAGCTAAAGTATAAGGAATCTTGGGCAACAGAAACTGGAAATGTCAAAATGAGGCATATGGCCAGTTGCAGCTTAGCCCGTCTACTCTGAAATAAGCCCCATCATAACCAATGGGACTTGCCATGAAAAAAAGCATACACCGGATTGCAATACAAACCATTTTGCATTTATACTTCTACACCATGTTAACAACAAATGGATTGTTCAACCAATATCATTAAGAAAGAAAAACTGTAGCAGGGAAAAACTTAATTGTTGGAAGCCATAGCAAGTTGTCTTCAGTAAATAGCAACATGTTGTTTCCACCCTGGACAAGGCGGTGTTGTAGACAGTGTTGTATTTAAGCATTATTTTAAATAATGCTTAAATAAGGTTCAGTGGTACAAACAAAAGATATACAGAAGCAGAAGGTGAGGGGTTTGGGAAAGAGTTTATGGCCTTTTAATTTCATCTAAAAAGAAATAGCACATGAGCAGAAAAAGCCTCATTTCCTTTCCCCTTCTTTCCTTCCTGCAGCTTCTTCAGCTGCCATTTACCAAGGATCAAGCCTGAAACTGAAACTTTTCAAGGAAGCTGCAAGGTTTAGGTCTCCTAAGACAGCTGCTGCCCCTACTTAGATTACTGAAATTCCAGAGTGATGAAAGAGCTTTGCCATTCAGTAACAGCTATATCAGCAGTACAAATCTTTGTTCAGACTGACTTGTTTCTTAAAACAAAGTATGCAAGGGAATCTGAAAAAGCATAGTAAAACAAGTTCCAAGAAACAGATTCCTTTGTTTAATACTATATAATGAAGTAGGAAGGGGCTCTCAAAATGTTAAAAAATTTGGGATTCCAATGCTGCTTTATATGGTATATTCCCAGGCATTCTGCTATATTGTTGATCCATACCATGAGCTTCCTTTCTTTATAGGCAAAACTAATGCCAGTGACTATATACCTACAATTAGCAATGCAAATGAGAGAATGCTGAGACAGTGTGAAGGACATTTAAGCACACAAAGTTTCAATGTTTTTCTTCAGAAAGGAGATACTTAAAAATGATATATATAGTCTTAATACAAAATGTTATTTCATTGTCCCCACTTTTTAAATGATTAAAAAATATCTGCAAAACAAATGCTTTAAGCAAATCTGCTGATAAACAGGAACACTGAGCAGAAGGAACAGTTGTTTTCAAATCAGTATATTTTTTATAAAAAACACCTATTAAATAAAAAAGTAAACATCCATATTCAAAAGCAAAAAATTAGGACAGATGCTTCACATAATTGGCCTCCACAGTTTTGGTAAAGAACTCTTTGGATGAGAAAGGAGAATATGGAAATTAGTCAGTAAAAAGTGTTGTCCAAGTTTTTCTTCAAAGACATGTTTATACAGGAGATTCACCTTGTGTGTAGTCCAGGAGATACATCTATAATTTAATGAAAAGAAGCAATAGTTCTACTAGTTTTCTCCTTCTTCACCTTCTTCCTGCTTAATAACTGGAATCCCTAAAAAGGAGAGTGAGTTTTTAAAAAATAAACAAGTTGTCAGAATGAAATATTACAACACTTTAAAACTAACAATCCTACAGCCCAGTCCAGAGTGAATAACTTGCTAGCAAGCAAATAAACTGACTGATTGGAAAAAAGGAAATGTAATGACAATACGATTATTTGTGGCAATGTCTAAACAGTAAGTCTCTGCTGAATATTTACAGTAGATAATTTGAGTTATATAGCAAAATATATAACTGCAACTCGAAGTAAACATGTAGAGAACCAAGTCTATTTTTTTTTATGTCATGAACTTCAATATACTGGAATTCAGAACAGAGAAGCATTCTATAGTGTTTCCCCCAAAGACAGGGGCCTTATATTACTTTTTGCTCCAAAAAGCACATTAGGGCTTATTTTCAGGGGATGTTTTATTTTACAGTCATGTCATCTTCTGGTTGCTGCACAATGCTGGAGGGCAGGGTTTCACTTAACTAGGGCTTATTTTTGGGGGAAGGGCTTATATTACGAGCATCCTGAAAAATCATACTAGGGCTTATTTTCAGGTTAGGTCTTATTTTTGTGGAAACAGGGTATTGCACACCCAAATTAACTTTTTATGAGAAAGTGACAAGTGAACACTCTGTCTATCTCATCCACTAAATGCTACCCAGTGCTTACTCAGCTCTCACCATCAAGTTTCTTCAGTTTCGGCACTCGCTTAGTTGCTTCCTCAACCCAGGCACTCTGAGAATCAGCAGAATATTTCTCTTCCAATGGATTGCCTACAAACACCAGATCTTCTAGTAATGGCAGCTCTGCCAACCTCACAAACTCTGCTACAGTTAAAGAGAGATACAGTCATGAATTAAGGAGCAAAAAAACACACCCTACGTTAGAGGTATATGAAGGCTCTTAAAGACTAGACAAGATACCAGCAAATACTGAATGAACCATACTCCTTCTGGAATATCTTACTCCCCTAATCTGGACTCATAACTATTATGCCAGCATATTACACATAATTCAGAAATCAACATTAGCATTGGAGGATTATTTTCATGCCCAGGAATGCAGTGGTACATCTATTACAGACAGGAGTGCTACTGGAAGTAATTTTATCACTGGAGATGCAAGTAGCATTCATGGTACAGCAAGCCTGTCACTCAGAGAACATAGTTTAAAAACTGATTTTTTTTTCCAGAGAGAAACAGGACAACACAGTTCTCACTATTCTGGCAACTTTTCTTTTGGACTAATGCAATATATGAAATATATGGGTTACTTTGAAGACTGCTAAAAAGCTTCACTTAATCCAAAACAGAACTAGTGTACAAACTAGAACCAACAGCAACAGATCTTCTCAGGCTTCATACAATTTTATTGAATGCTCCTCTATGTCTGAGCCCAATTCAAAACGTTGGAGCTTAACTTATAAAGCCCAAATAAGGCTGTCTTCTTCCATGCAAATGTGCCTATAAGCCAAGGTCATTCTTGAGCTCTCTCCTTTGGCTGCCAAAGAGTTTCTGTATGTGGAAGGCTCTCTGCTGGAACATTACCTGGAATATATTTCCATGTCTTTTCAGTGTCAGACAAAATCCTTTCTATTTTTGTTTTTAACCATTGATTTCATTCAGCTGCACTCCTGTGATTCCTCTTGTAATTTTGTTTACTGTCTTCATCAACATATGATATAAAAATCATTTCATATGATTTCTTAGGAACATTGAAAGTATCAGTGCTCAAGTACAGGGCTATACCCTGGTCAAAATGCATACATTGTATAGCTTCCTGCACTAATTCAAGTTACTTGATATGAACTCAGTGAATAACACCATGGTATTTCAAATGAAAAATGACTTCTCTGGCTTACCCCAGTCTTTCACCAGATTATTGGACATGTACAGAATCTTCAGCTTCTTCATAACATGAAGCCCTTTCAATTTTTCAATTAGGTTGTACGAAATCCACAGCTCTTCTAAAGTATCTCCAACTGCTTCCTAAAAGATCATAATGCTTCAGAAAATTATGGTTTACACTCTCCTATGCTGTACTATTACCTATTACCTCCTATTACCATGCAAATCATTCCTGAACCCATGAACAACGAAACAAAAGTAAGGCATGATGCTTAATAATTTGCACTACATAAGCAGTGGACATTGTAGTGGGATTACATACCAGGCCATTCAGATTCTTTATGTTGTTTCTCCCCAATGACAAAATCCGCAGGTTTTCTGCAACAAAAACATAGTGATTTTATAATTTTCTACAGTGCTGATAATTTACATAACATGGAAACCTTTGTATTACTTATATTTATCTGGTGGTGTGAAAGGGGAAAGGATGTAGTCAAGGCAGAGGACAGAAACAGGTAACCCCTCAGTGAGCAAATGTTGCTTAAAACTGAGAATCCCACACAATTTCTTTAACTCTTTAAAGAGCTGGTAATCTACAAGCACTAGGCATGCACTGACATGACACACACAACATCCGCCTTATACTTTAGTACAGTAATAGAAGCAGTCAATTCATCATATAGGTGTAGGGCACAAAAGGCATGGTTACCATGTGGTTATTTCTACTGCTTCCAAAACAGCCCCCTAGGGAGAACCATACTTTCCAGCAAGAAATGCAATGGACAGGTATAGGCTGAATACACTGACAAACATAACTGAACACAAGAGTGCACTTCTCACTGTTATCAGAAAAAATACTAAGTCAATGCTTAAATAATGAAAGCTACAATAAGTGGTCTTAACCGACCAGATAGGTGGGATACAAATAACATAAAATAAATTAAAATAAAATAAAATAAAATAAAATAATAATAATAATAATAATAATAATAATAATAATAATAATGTACTTTGCAAAAAGAACTGAGAAGAATAGTGACATGGGGAATGCCCTCTGTATTACAATATGTAGAAATGGGGCTGAAGATTTACTACCTTGATAAACAGAGAGTGTGACATGTTGTAGATGACATCACCACATCAATAGACAAGCTTTACTATTCAAGATTATGCTAAAACACCTGCATATTTCATTTTCAAGTAGTCTTGATGTCACTACTTGTCATTAAATGCAAAATTAAGGCTTATTCACATGTTTAGGAGCTTTCTAACCATATGTGAAACAGAGGGTGATAGGGATACGCCACTCACTGGAGAGCCATCCCTCCTCAACAACAAAACTAAGGAAGTGGACCCCAAACCCACACCAGAACCTACACTGAAACCTCAGCAAGAGACAGAGATAGATGATCTGACAGAAGACATACAGAAAGAGATAATAGGGGAGGTTCAGGGAGAGAGAGGTGGGAAGAGAGAGGAAAAAAAGGGTGGAGTTTGAAGCAGGGATGGGGAAGGTAGAGAGAAAAGAAGAACAGTTACCGCCTGTTTGGGAATGGGTGTGGATGCAGGATCCATGGACTGGATTGTGGGAGAGATTAAGAGTGCCCAAAGAGGAGGCAGATTATAGGAGGAGAACGGAGATTCCACCTAGACCTTCTTATTGGGGAGAAGCTGAGGCAAGAAAGTGGAGGAGGAGATTGAGAGAGGAAAAGGAACGAGTTGAGAGAGAAAGGAGACAAAGATTGGAATAGAGAGTAAGGGAGATGAAGAGAAGGAGTTACAGGGAAGATCCTGGGAGAGCCGAGACCCCGATGGACAGATCCTGTGGGATGACAACCTGGATGAGCAGACTATGCTCCTGCTGGAAGGCCTGATGAGGTACACCGTAAAAGACTGGGTCCCCACTGATCTACCAGGGCCATGGAACAATAGTTATGGAAACCCGCTTCTGTTTGATGAGTGGAACCCCTTCTGGACCCATTGGCAGAAGGAGAAAAGATTCATAATCATGTTCCAGACACTTGTTTATTGTTAAATGCACCAATAAATCTTTCAGTTGTTTTGAAGCAGCAAAAACCTACTGATTTCTGAACTAAATATGGAGCCAAAAGTCAAGCCCTCACGCCATGTAATATGGTATATATGGGATATGCAGGTACAATTATTATCTGCTGCATATAGACTGAGATGGAAACTGATAAAACGGGGTAAGCACATAAGTCTGAGTTCTGCTCTTGAGCTTACAATTCATAGATGGAACAGAAAAAAATAGTGTCAGAACAGGAACAATAATGAGACATATTAAAAAACAGAAAATACACACATCACTTACTTAGCCCATTCAAGTTGGCAATTTTTTCAATGCAGTTTGTAGATAGAGACAGCTTTCTAAAAATAAAAAAGTTATTAGAAACACTAAAATTACTAAACCAGTTTCTCCTTATAATCAACACTTTCTCAAAATACTACATCTATAGTTTTGTGTAAATCCTTCTTCATTGATTTCCTGCATGACTCCACCTGCCTGTTGATTTTTGTTATATACTAAGTTTCCAGTTTTAGTCACAAAACTGCTGCTGAACTGCTGCAAACTCAAATCCTTGACAAGTCTTTGCACAAGGAAAAATCATGGCTTACTTGAGATCAGTCTGTACAATAAAATCAGTCAAATGCTTGTTTTGCCACACAATGAATGTCCACTGAATGCCTAGTTTACCATTTATGCAGGGCCTTTTCTCTACCACATCATTACTCACCTGTGTAAGCTTGTATCTAATTTGTGGCATCATCTATTTTTTGGCTTTATATGTACTTTTATGGTCAGTGGCATCTCACCCAGGCTATAAATAATTTGACTGAGCTAAGGGGAGAACAGAAGCAGAAATCTGATGGTAGACATCACTGGAAATCAGAGGAATTTGAGAAGTCTATAGGTTGTCATTGGCTGGATACAAAAAGCATTTTATTTCACTATGTATATATTGACTTGCATGATGGAAATATATTTATATATTTCTGCAGGACTAAGATAGGTTTCTGTAGAGCATGGAACTAGTAACAATTTTCCCAAGCCATTCTCAGAAGTAAAGGAAAGTGGTTGAAAGGAGTAGAAATGTACATTTTTATTCTTTCTTATTATTGGCAACTGCCTACCATGGTCCAGTTTTATTTAAAATACATTTTCTTTTGTGGTGTTATATGTTTTGCTATGAAATACACTTGAATGTGGCTACCATCCTAAAACAACAGAGATTTGTTGGTAAGTTAACAGTTTTTGTCAATTGTCTATCTGGACTGTAATTTAGTATACAACCCTCCTTTTGTGCATCTCACAAATGGGAAACATTATCCAGAAAAGTATCCTTAGATTGCCTTCAGTCTTCCTCACTAAAGAGGTTATTCTAAGCTCTTTTAACAGTGTAGAAGAGAACTAATGTATTTGAGACATGAACAGAATGTACCAAATATATCAAACATGTAGCCAACACATCAGAATTAGATATACTGTAGTTTGTTGCTCTTAAAGATGACTGAGACTAATGAAAAAGGCAAAAGTAACTGGTGTGTGATCCTGAGATTATAAGGTATATTCCATCTGATATGCCTGGAGAGCAATGGTGACTTTTCCCTCTAATGAATCTATTTAATCTCCTCCTAATACTATCCAAGTCTGTGTCTTTCACTACTTCTAGTGCAAGCAAATTCCATAGTCTTAGCATTCATTGTATGATGTGCTTTCTGTTGTCTCTCTTTTCTGACACATCACTCTTTCTTTCTCTGTCTCTTACTCCCCTACAGTGAGAATACCAACTGAGAAAGAAACATCACTCTTGCCAGAGACTGAACTAACTACTTGAGGAAGCCTTCTGAAAATGTAATTAATATAGCCATGGTTTGTCTTAATGTCTAAATTAAGTCTATGTCAACCTGAGTAATTGTGTTGCTGAAAAGAAAATGCTAATAAAAAAACTATGTGCTGGAACAGTATGAAGCCATGCACAGAGTTACTTGAGTAAAGAGGAAAGCCACTTTGAATAAGAAAGGAAGCCACAGAACTGAAGCACCGTAGGCAGAAGTAACCTCAGGTGGATCTCTCCCCTGCCTTTGCCTTTAATATCTGGAACATACTCGCAGTTAACAAGTGTTGAAAGAGATGCATCCATCTTCTCTATAGGGGGGATCTGGGCATAAAGTTTCACTTCTTTGGCTTCAGATGGCTTTTGACCATTTTTTTCTTCCTACGGAAAAATGAGAGAGAGAGAAAAAGAGGACACCCTCTTCCATCTATACTTAGGAATATATAATCCAATATAAAGGAGAAAGAATAATTGTGTTAACATACTTGCTATCATGGCTACTTGGCTTCACAAAAACCTGGACATGAGCTACAGCTAATGTAACCTAAGACTTATTCCACAGAATCAAAGAACACTTTGTTTTTTTAAAAGGCTGGAAGTCAGTTTTACAAATATTCGGTGACAAACTTGCAACAGTGAATGGGGGGGACCACAGAATTTTTACTGTATAAAATAACAATTGTTATTGACTGGAGCTGGGAGAAATTACTTTTTTTGGATGCCACTCTTAGAATATCCCAGCTAATTATTTTGAAAGATGTCATGCAAAGAATGAACTTTTTCAGTCTCTGAGATATCCAGCTCAGGAATAAGCTGGATCTTGGCAGACTCCTTGCACAACTCTGTAACAAACTGTAGTTCAAACTAGACTGAAAAGCTTACTGGCCATATGCAACTGTGATTTTTCCCCTTGTACCTATTCTGAAATACTCACTTCCATTAATGTAAAAATATAATACTAGGTCAGGCCTAGTATTAGAATCTACCTTATAGGATACTTTGTATCCTATAAGGTAGAATCTACCAAATAGGATACTTTGTATCCTATTTCTGAGAATATGAAGGCATTTTGTAACTGAATTTGAAATGGAGAAGCCTCTAGTGAAGTACTCTATGCCAGATAGTCATTAATAGTTACCAGCAGCTTGATATCAGGAAAAACTAAAATGTGTGAATGAATTGCCTCAATATGGTAAATAACTGCTCAAAATACAGCGCATGAATTCATGTCATATTTTTCAAATAGTGGTTAAAATATAAGTCAGCCCATTCTCAGTTTATAATGAATACAGTGGTGCCCCACTTGACGACAATAATCCATTCCAGCAAAATTGCTGTAGAGCGAAATCATCGTCAACCAAAAGTAAAAAACCCATTAGAATGCATTAAAAAACCGGTTAATGCATTCTAATGGGGGAAATACCTCATCGTCCAGAGAAGATCCACCATAGGGTGGCCATTTTCCAGTGCCTGTAAAGTGAGGAATTCGTCCTATACACAGCGGGGAGCCATTTTGCACAGCAGACAGCCATTTTGTGATCCACCGATCAGCTGTTTTAAAATCGTCATTCCCGAAGCAGGGAACTGATCATCGTTAAGCGAAATTCCCCCACTGAATCATCATCAATAGCGATTGCAAAAACTCATCGTAAAGCGGATTCATTGTCAAGCAGGGTAATCGTCAAGTGGGGCACCACTGTATATGTTAAAGTAGACCAGCAAGAAAGCCTTCCAAAATGTAAAACACTTCTACCTTAATTCAGAAGAGGGAGAGAAAAGCAAAACTTGCAAATCAAACTAATTTACATCTGCAATATTAGAACATTTTCTTTAAGCAGGGTGGTTGTATCCGTCCTCTTAAAGAAGCTATGGACTCCCTTCACAATTAGACTAAAAGGCTAATTATGTAAGAAAGGCAAGACAGCTGGCAGAATTTCTGTCAAATACTTAAGTAACAGACTGACACAAACACATTTTCTTAATTACATCAGTGACTGACACAAACACATTTTTCTTAATTACATCAGTCTTCACACTGGCTCCTCCATACACTTTGTATTATCCACAAGCTTCTCTAATCTCTGCTTTTAAAGTCTCTTTGCCACTGGCAAAAGCTCATTCCCCTTCTATCTTCCTTTCGCTTACTTCTCAGCACAAGTTCCCATCCTGCAGCAGGGGCAGGTAACAATACCCTCCGGATATCTTTGACCTGCAATTTCTATCAGACCCACCCAGTAAAAGATTATGGAAATTCGGTTCAGTAACATCTGGAGCAGCATAAATTGCCCACCTATATCCTAACAGCTTCCCTCCTCTCCTTTAAACTGTATTATAATGTGCCAAAATCTCTGCTCATAGTTTTCAAACTGCTTTTATTTCCTCCTATATACCTGGTTCTGTAACAAAGCTCACCCAATCTTTCCCTCAGTCATCCCCACTAATCATCATTCTGTCCCTTCTATGTCTTGCCTAAGGTAGATTCTAAGCCCTCTAAAACGGTGGTCCCCAACCTTGGTCTCCAGATGTTCTTGGACTACAACTCCCAGAAGCCACCACCTCTACTGGCCAGGATTTCTGGGAGTTGAAGTCCAAGAACATCTGGAGGCCCAAGGTTGGGGACCACTGCCATAAAACAATGACAGAATACTGCTAATGACAGAACATTTTTCAGCAGAGTACTGATAATCTGTAAATGTTAACTAGATTTAGCAAGTTGTCTTATGTAGCAGCTCAAACACCAAACTCTGACATACTAGAAATACAGGAGTTTTATTTTATACATATATTTCTGTTATGTTTTTTTCCGCCTCTTTTTTTTATGGCAGGAAAAAGCTTGACAAAATTTTTTAAGACAATCCATGTGACCACATGAACTGAACCAATTTTCTGCTTACCCATTTGGCGAGTGCTTCCTTGATAGTTGTTGCTTTTGCCTAATAAATCAAAGAAATGAAAGTATATTTTAATTGATTAATCAGCTAGAACATTTTCTGTAAAAATCACTCAATTATGTTTAAATGCCTTTACATACTATAAATACATCTCTTTTAAGCAAAGAATCAGTTTGACAAACAAGTTGTGGTCACATTCAAAAATAAGCTTACATTCATTGTTAAGACATACGTTTTCTACAAATCTGGAAATATGAGATATCGTATTACACTTTACAGTAAAAATGGAGGATCTGGTTTTAAAAGGTACAACATCAAGTTCAACAGTATGCAGACATGCTTGGTTTTTTGCATTGCACTGCCAATGGATGCAAAGTCTTGGTAATTTTATTCTGATATATCAGAGAGTGATCCTAACCCACAGATCTGCTGTTTGCAATACCTAGCAGATATTATGGAGCCACAAAATACATGCTGTTTTACCCTCCCTCCTATTGAGGACTGCTATGCTCAATATAAAGTGGAGAAGGAAAAGCCATATTTAAGTATGCCACCAGTTTGTGTACGTGTAGTAAAGAAACAGTGTTAACCATGCAGCTTGTCTGACTGTATTTTCTTAAAGAACTACACTTGACAGAGGAAGTCTCCATTCTAACATATTGCTAACTAATTAAAATTTGCAAAACCAGTTTTTGTTCAGTGCTCAGCAAAATAAACACTCAAGCAAATCTCAAGATATTAAATGGGAGAATAAACGTAGACAATGAGTTCCAAAAATTTTTAAAAAGGAAACAAAGACATGTGGACTGTGCGTCCAAATTGACCACTAAAAATTATAGCCATATGCTAGCTTTCAGCCCTGTACAAGTCTTCTTCAGGCTTAACACAATGGAGCTGATACAGAAAAAAACATTAAATTCCAAAAATCATGGTTAGATGCATGGGCCACCCTCCTTAATTAGAAGATATTGGCTGAAATTCAGTATCGGAACTTCTACCACATTATATTCGCGAAGGCTTTCACGGCTGGGATCTAATGGTTGTTGTGGGTTTTTTGGGCTCTTTGGCCATGTTTTGAAGGTTGTTCTTCCTAACGTTTTGCCAGTCTCTGTGGCTGGCATCTTCAGAGGACAGCACTCTGTGGCCGGCATCTTCACAGAGACTGGCAAAACGTTAGGAAGAACAACCTTCAGAACATGGCCAAAGAGCCCGAAAAACCCACAACAACCATTCTACCACATTAGATTGATGGTGTCATTAGTCATAGCAGCTTTTCAGAAATTAAAACTTTCCACTCACACTCCAGAGGTTCTTTGGAGCCTTTTCATCTCAGGGAAGCCATTGGGGGCTGCAAAATGGGAGGGAGAGCCATTATGAAAATCAACACCAAGATACTTTTACTGATGGCAGTGATTTTCAGAAATTTAAGATTTCACTCCAGTCATGCAGATCCCAACAGCCTGGCCAGCATTAAAAGGATCCAGGGAAGCCTTGGGACCTTTGACGGAATAGGATCCAAAATTTTCAATTACAAAACAAAACAAAAAACAAAACAAAAAACAAAAAACAAACCCACTACAGATGATGAAGTCATCAGCTTTACATGACACAACTTTTAGCAACAGGATTTCAGCCATCATATTAACATTACAACCCAATTAGATACTATGCTGTAAAGCATGAAACCTGTCCAGTCCCTAATAGCTACAGAAATGGCCTTGTCCCATGACCACACACTTACATACTCATGCCAGAAGATCCATGCATTAAAGGGACTTAAGGAACCTTCAAAGTGTAATTGGGAAAGAGCTCTAACACTTGCTTGCCTGGGGGTAGGCTTAGGTGTATTGCTAACTTATTGGCACAGAAGTCAAAACTCATGATAGTTTCAGGTTTATCATGCTTTATTGCCCGAATATGTATCTGTCGTAAGAAGTTTCTACAGTAAAATGAAAAATGGGTACAAGGTAGAAAAGGCAAGCATGAGCCACAAAAACATAATGTCCTTGAGTTTTACTGTATCACATGCACACATCTTAAGTCAAAGTATCTAAACAGCCAATTCAGTCAAGTACACTAACACACATTCAGTATTTATGCCAATGTTCTAAATATTTACCATTCTCCTGAAAGTGTCTTCTTACACCTGGATTACTTGTGGATGTTGAATATTTTGCACTGGCTATTCAATGCTCTCTTCATATAAATATCTTTCCTGGGGGAAGAAAATGTATTAAGACTAAGATTATCTCAGGCTTCAAGCATCATTAAAGTGATCCGGTGGGGTGGGGGTGAGGTGGGAGGTTTCACTGTTATCTAATAGCAAAGGTGGGGAGCCTTCAAGTTTACAGGACTTATGCTTTTGAAAAAACAGAACCCTAACAGCCAGCTGTTGTTGTTACATGCTGTCAAGTTGCCTTTAGCTTATGGTAACCTTGTGAATAAGCAATCTCCAGAATGTCCTGTCCTCAACAGCCTTGCTCAGCTTTTGGAAAGACAAAAGTAGAAGTGGCACTGAGGTCAGCAAAGGAGAGGTTTATGGCAAAAATATAAAATTCAAGGTTGCTTGTTCTTCCTTGTGTTGCTTCACTATTTGAACAAACTTTTCTTTTAAATAAAAATACCCCCTTTTTGTTCACAGCATCTCTCTTGTTACACTCCCAAAAGATCACACTTCCTACCTATAACTAAGTGAACTTTAATTCATTGAATGTCACATTCAGTACAAGTCTCTATGGTGCCACTGCATTTCTCAATCACCCTCTGAACAATCCTCCACAGCAGATCAGCATTAAGAAGATAAGAATATAACAGGAGCCTTGCTGGATCAGACTAAGGCGTTTAATCCAGTACTCAAAGGGCAACCAATTGCTTATGGTCCTGCCGCCTCTACTACTACTGTATCTCCATACTGCAAAACTTGACCAAGATTTTCATGCTGCAGGTAAGGGACTGAGGCTGGCCTGCCTCAAGTCACGCAGCTGAAGTGAAACCTGAACTAGAGGTCTACTAGCTCACAGAAAGAAAATGACAGTCTCCAGAGGAAATGAAAACAGAGGAGACATCATTCGACACGTCCCTTGCTTCGGTCTGCCGTCCCCGCGGGAACCACCACGGCACCCCCCCCCCCTCTCTCTCTCTCTCACACACACACACACACACAAAACACACACACACACACCTGCGAACTTTGTAAGGCACTCCTCTCTGAAGCCCTCCGGGCTCCTCCAGCAATGCCTCGGCGCGCCACTCGCCAGCTCCACGCAAGCCCCACTCCGCGCCCACAGGGCCCTCCTTCTCCCTAGCCCCACGCCAGGCGGCACCTCTGCTCCTAAAGGCCAAGACGGCTCCCCCGTCGCCCAGAGCA